TGAGTTAGGGAGAATTGCTTCCTTTTCAATTTCATTGAATAGTTTGAAGAGGGTTGGTATTAAATCTTCTCTGAATTTCTTGTAAAATTCTGCTGTATCCCCAGCCCTTGTTTGTTTGTTTGACACAGGGTTTTACTCTGCAGTTCAGGCTGGCCTTGAACTCACTATGTAACCCAAGCTGGTCTCCAACTCACTTTGATCCTCCTACCTCAGCCTCCCAAGTGCTGGGATTGTAGGTGTGTGCCGCTACGCCCAGATCATTTTGCAGTTCACAAAGCAGGAGCCCCGAGAGCTAAGTCCCACCCGGCCCTGCTGGGCCTGGAGGTCAGGCCTTCCGTGCCGGCATCGCTGCTCTTACACACCGTGGTGCACTGCGTCACAGAATAAGCTGGGCTGTGCTCCGGGCCAGGGTGTTCTTGAAACACAGCTCTGAGGATTAGTTACTGGACAGGAGTCTTATCTAATGTAGCTCCTAAGTGAGTGTTAATCGTCTTAAAGACAGTGAGATTTCCTTTTTCAAAAACGCCACATGGGCAGGGGTCACTGTGTGTGTCCGGTAAGCAGGCAGCTCTCCCGGGGGTCTCCACGGCAAAGCCCGCAAGGTGACAGCCGGGGTGAAGCTTGTCTTCAGTGCGGTGTGTCATGCGCTGCCCTCTACTGCCCCTACCAGGGCTGAGGTAGAGGCTGGCCGGCCCCTGCCACCCCAGCAAGCGGAAGCTGGTTTGAGAAATCTCTGATTTGTGATCACAGATTAGTTCCGTGTGCAATTGCCCCAGCAGGTGATGCGTCTTCTGGGCACAAGTCTCCCCTGAGGGTTTTGGAGTTAGGGTGTGTAGAGCTAATACTAGGGCTGTCTCAGGGCCACAGAAGGCGCACAGACCTGCTGCTTGCTTAGCCCTGAAGGGTTCTGCCTCTAAGAGCACCAGAAGGAAACCAGCCTTCAAGTGTGCACATACAGACGTATACACTTTATTTTACTGTTGAACCATCTAAGAGTAAGACAACAGTTTCTTACAGACATCGTGAGAAAGTAAGACTACATTTGGTCACTTACCTGCACATACTGCCTAAGTGCAAATATTCACCTCCTAACTAAAATGATCACATCCTAGCATGCCTGTAACACAATCATCTAACATATAGTCCATTTTTCTTTTTTCTTTTTTTTTTTGGTACCAGAAATCAAATTCAGGACCTTGCACTTGCCAGGTAGGTGGTTGTGCCGCTGAGCTAGATACCTGGCTTTCTTTTTTTTTTTTTTTTTTTTGAGTTGAACTCACGATGTTGCGCTTGTCAGGCAGGCGCTGTGCCGCTGGAGCCTAGGCTGATCTCGAACTCACGACCATCCCCCTGCCTCAGCC